ATTAAAATACTGTATATCTTCTCCTATTGTTAAAGTGTTAACTTCATTAATTTCTATCTAGAGAAATTAAGCTTAACTCTAGAAAAGTATATACAAAAATATATACAGTTTTCATAGGCAAATTATTTGTACAATATTATTATTTAATCTTTGTATGTTTGATGTTTTTAGGAGAACTGATACTATTTAACTACTTTGTGTATTCTTTACTGGCAAATATATGACACAAAATATAAATTTATAAACAGATTAACTGTATTTTATTATTCACCGTAAATTTTTTCAAGATCAATTCCATGGAGTATCGGACAATATTTTATTCTAAAAAATAAAATTTCAAGATGGATCTTAAAATTCGAAATACATTATTATTATAATGTATTTTAATACTCTTAGAATATACAAACAAAATTGGCTAACTTATTCCTGCGCTTTGACATACCTCTTAACTCTATTAAGTGAAAATCCTTCAGGCATAGATGGTTTTTTGCAAGTGCATAGTATATTCATAAGAATTGGGAAAGCTTCTTCTTGAATAAGCAACAGTGACATAGCTGGACCTTCTGCGAATTCTCGAGGACTTAATGTTAAAAATCTAAGTTTTGATAAAGCATTACCAATTACAGATCTTATTGATTTTCTATCATCTGGATCAAGTAATTTCCTTGCACATTCAGCTTTTGCCCAACATTCTACAGCATTAAATAATTCAATTTCAGAATTAATTTGTAAATAGTTTTCCTTTAACACAGTTAATATGGTTTCTAATTCGATATCCTTCCAACTCGGAGCTTCCAAAACTTTATTTGTATTTTTGCGAATAACTTGAAGGCATTTTTCCATAAGTATTGGATCCTCAAATGATTTAGCAAGTTCATAAGCTTTACAAACTGTCTGCGGAGATAAATCAGAAGTGAGATATTTTTTACATTTGTCTACTAGCGGTGGGATCATATATTTTTTAGCACAATGACACAATCCACAAACTACTTCAAAACAATCCAAATCAACTTTATCTGTATATATATATTTCAAAAAGGCTTTGAAAATTTCAGGTTGAACATCTTGAATTGGTATTGGATCATTTTTCTCTGTCATGTTTCCATAAAAAATTGCTTCAAAAACAGGACTAGAAATGACCAAAAATAATTTGTGTCCCTTTAATATTTGTCGATGAGGATCTTTTCCAACGATAAATTCACAATCAGACCATTGGCCTGTCTCAAATAAATATTGGCCACGTTCTGAAATATTTTTTTTGTTTATTTGCCAATCACAGGGCAAACCCATTTTTATAGTATCAAAAATATGAAGTGAATTGAAATCCACACAATAACACAATGATTGAAGTGATCAAGTCAAAGAATAAACCAGATTAATTCCTGAAATAATAAAACTTTTACTGTAAAAGATAATTTACTGTAAAGATAAGCAAAGAAAATTACATAAATGAGAGATTAAATACCTCAAGAATAAAGTTCTGACATATGTTTAGGCATTTGATTTGACAATCATATGTACTTATCTTTTTGCAATATATGTTTCAGCTATAAACATAAAATATTATACCAATAGCACTAAAAAGATTTTGTAGAATAGTTTCTGTGAATCAAAACATACACAAGGTAGACTGAAGATGCATTCTAGGATCTTGATATTTGTAAACAAACGTGATCTAATTTTAAAAAACAATAGTTACATTTGCTTAGCAACGAAAATAAACAAAGGAAAGTGACAACAGAAAAGAAAATACTACAAATTACACTTCATAACTTCTTTATAGCACAGATTTTTGTTTGAAACTAACTACGCGGCGACGGAACTCGGTCGTAATAATAAAGAAAGGAAATTTGTATACTCTTGTTTAATCATCTACACAACTACAGTGGTATAGAAAACTATTTGTAAATCGCTTTTTTCAAATTAACTTGACATAAAAAAATAACCGCACCTCGCAATAAAAAATAATCGGAAAAATAAAATATTAATAATACACCATTTAAAAATAAAGCTAAAAAACGAAGATCTTTCAAACAACAGAGTATTTGCACATATAGATTTCTTATAATTTGAACATTAATATTTTTTTAGTTAATGACGCAGTGAGATGCATAAACTTTCAGTAATGATAAATAGGTGTTTGTTGTTTTCCTTGCGTATCATTGTTAAATATTTAGGTACTATATTGATTACCAGTGTTTAAATATCTTTTTGATTACAAATCATCATTATGTTCAGATTATTTTTTAATTGTAAATTATCAACTACTGATACGAAACAAAGAATTATTACTAAGAGACTGAGTGTACAAGAACTTTTTTCACCCACTGTAAGTGTATTTATTCAATGCTTGCACGGTTTTGCAGTTCCCTTTTTTTATAATAACTAAAGTTTTGTTGAAGTACCGATTCATGTAGTTTATTGTAAGAATTCCCATAGTGGAATTTTAGATATTTATTTGTGAAATGATCTTTTGTTTAATTAAAGGAATTGCAAGCAGATTACAAATTGACAGAAGTCCACATCTCACTTGCTGTGCAAATGCTACGCCATCTAGATTCCTACACTCCATTACGTCGTTTTTCTGAAGTCGTTGATGCTCCGCTTTAACGACTTCAATGTGGTTATCGATAATTCAGGTAAAATTGTCTAAATTCTATTTGATTTAAATAAATATACGTATACACGAGAAAAGAGTGTTTTCAATATTGCTAATGTTTAAATAATAAATAATTTGAGTGGTGTTCGATATAGTACAAATAATTAAAATATCCTCGAAGATGTTAAAATCATTTTAAATTGAACAATATGAAAACATCCATTTGGAACAGGTGTCAGTTTTTTCAGGTATAAATTGAAGATTCTTCTTGTATATTATATATGAATTAAGAAGGATTCATACAATTTTAAGTTTTCCGCGGATTTTTCATTGGCTTTGACCATCGTTGTGAATTTTCCCAATGGCGCATGCACAGCTCAGCTGTGTGTAATCGCGAGCAATTTATTAGAAAAATAATGTATTTTACAGTATTTTTATCCAAGTAGAAGGTGTACTGAACACGGTATTCGTAATATTAGGTATGTTGAAGAAGATTTCTTGCTGTCATTAATTAACTGACTGTGGAATATGTGAGATATGTGAAAAATCTTTTGTGACGGGTTTAGAAGCACCTGCATGGGATCCACCTTAGTTCTCCAAGCTTCCTGACAGACTTCTTCGACTTGTCAGTTCGTGAAATTTTTGGTTTCTGTTGATATATAAAGATGCGAAACGATTATTAAGCTTTGAATTTATTTAATAATTTTCAGAAGTTATATTCTTACAATGAAAATTCTTTTCAATGAAAGTGACAAGACTTGTTAGTATAGTTTTGTTTTCGAGTTGAAAACTCGATTTGAAGTGAAATATATTTAATAAAATATTAGTTAGAAGATTCGTTTATTTGAATTAGTTCGATAATCAGTGCCTCCTAGTGATCGTTTGCTTTATGTATATTGCGTTGAGTCATCATATATTGGGTATTACACTGTTCATCAACAAATTTTTTGTTAATATTTAGCACAATTTTGTTTTTTTTTAATTTTCATTTATTAGAATCTTTTCTCACTTAAAGATGAGATCAAAAGTGACAATTTTATTGAACTTTCTCTCTATGTCTTTTAGGATAATGTTTCTTAATCATCTCAGTATTTAAAAATTGTTTTACAAGTATAATGTTGTATATGTATTAATAATTAATTTATTGTAATGTTATTATTAACATAGTTAAACATTGTCTTTAAAATTGTTATAGTTAATAGAAATATTTTTGTGCTTTAGATTTATGTGATTAATGTTTTTTTATTTCTTCAGGAAACATGGACTGCCCATCTAGTATTGCAACAGTGTTTAAATTATACTTACATTGCATGTAGTCTTTTGTTTTGCATTGCTTTTGATGCATCAAACGGGACAATATATTTTTGAGGCAAATTACTTCTTAGCTTCGAATAAAAGAAATGGATGCTGTAAGAGACGAAGACAGGCGCAGGCGCCTGAGGGTGCTAGAGGAGCGTATAAGAGATCCAAGAAGTGTTACAAATATCGATTGCCTGTTGGATACAGTCCAAGCCTTGGTAGCAGATTGTGATCACCCTAGTGTAAAACGTATGAAGAATATAGAAGCATACATGAATAGATGTAAGTATTTTATTGGTTTTGTTAATAGTAAGTTCCTTGTTTATTACAAATTTGAAGTCTCTACAAAAATTGAATATTAAAAAATAATACTATATTAGATTATATATTTTCATTTAATATATATTTACACATGTTTTACGAATGGAATATAGAAAAAACTATTTTAAATTTCAGATGACTCGGTTGCTCATGATATTTGTAAAATGCGAATGCGTATGGATGACTTCACTTTGATAAAAGTGATAGGTCGTGGGGCATTTGGAGAAGTTCAGTTGGTACGACATAAATCTACGCAAAAAGTGTATGCTATGAAATTACTCAGCAAATTTGAAATGGTAAGGAATATAAATAAACACATGTATAGTATATTATATCCTTTTTCTTATTTTTGTATTTGTTATAGATTAAGCGTTCGGATTCAGCCTTCTTTTGGGAAGAACGTGATATAATGGCACATGCGAATTCCCAATGGATAGTTCAACTTCATTTCGCATTTCAAGATCAAAAATATCTTTATATGGTGATGGACTATATGCCGGGTGGTGATTTAGTAAACTTAATGTCGAACTATGAAGTGCCAGAAAAGTGGGCAAAATTTTATTGTGCAGAAGTGGTGCTTGCATTAGATGCGATACATCTAATGGGATTTGTTCATCGAGATGTTAAACCAGATAATATGTTGCTTGATAAACATGGTCATTTAAAACTTGCAGACTTTGGTACTTGTATGAGAATGGATGCTGTATGTATATCTTTGTTAATCTCTGTTAAACTTACAAAGTGTCATACGAATTTCTAGAAATATTATTATACTTTATCTTTTAGGATGGACTTGTTAGATCTGATACTGCGGTTGGTACACCTGATTATATATCACCTGAGGTACTTCAGTCTCAAGGTGGCGAAGGTGTATATGGAAGAGAGTGTGATTGGTGGTCAGTTGGTGTGTTTTTGTATGAAATGCTTGTTGGCGATACTCCTTTTTATGCTGATTCATTAGTTGGAACATATTCGAAAATTATGGATCATAGAAACTCACTACACTTTCCTCAAGAAGTAGATATTTCCCATTCCGCCAAGAATTTAATATGTGGTTTTCTTACGGATAGAACAGAACGCTTAGGAAGAAATGGTGTAGATGAAATAAAAAGTCATCCCTTCTTTAAAAATGACCAATGGACTTTTGAAAATTTACGAGAATGTGTCCCACCAGTTGTACCTGAACTTTCTGGTGACGATGATACTAGTAACTTTGATGATGTTGACAAAGAAGATGGACCAGAAGAAAGTTTTCCAGTGCCAAAAGCATTTTCTGGAAACCATCTACCTTTTATTGGTTTTACATATTCAGGAGATTATCAGTTAATGGCTTCTAGTGGAAAAGAATCAGTAGACGGATTAGAAAATCATATCAATAATGGTACAAGTGATGATATTAAAATTTCTCAATTGGAAAATTTATTGGATCGGGAGAAAAGGCAAGTAGAATCTTTGGAATCAAGACAAAAAGCTTTGACAATGCAATTAGAAGCTATGACACGTCGGGAAACTGAATTGCGCGAAGAAATAGGAAGAGCCGATAAGGAACTGACTTTACTACGACATAATTATAAAGAAGCACAACGTAGAGTAGAACATGAAACAGAATCACGTAGAAAAGCAGAGTCATTATTTGTAGAGTTGAAAAAGAAATTTGATGAAGAGCAGACAAAAAGAGCACGTGATGCGAGCAATTCACAACAAACTTCCGAACGCGTTGCAACTTTGGAAAAACAAATTAAAGAAATGCAATCAAAATTGGAAAGGGAAACAGAAACAGTATCAAGGTTACGAAAACAAGCTACCGAAATTACTGTAGCGCGACAAGCTTCAGAACAAATGGCAAATGAGTTACAAGTGGCAAGGGCACAGTTGCAGGCACAACGAGATAATTTACAACAAGAAGTTGCTACGTTACAAGTAAGCATTTTAGATAAATTGTTACGGTTATTAATAACTTTCGGTGATTAAATTATATCTCACATTCTCTCTCCTTCTCTCTTTCTTTCTGTACATTTGTATGTTATAGGGACAGTTATCAAAAGAGCGTAGTTCCCGATCGCAAGCTTCATCTTTAACTGCAGAATTAGAAAGCCGTCTGGCTACTCTTCATCTTGAACTTGAACATAGTCGAGAAAAAGAGGAAAAAGCAATCTCAGATAATAGACAACTAACAGAAAGAATTTCAGCGCTAGAAAAAGAAGCTGCCAGCTTAACTCTCGAGTTAAAAGCAGCACAAGCTAGATACAATCAAGAAGTCGTAGCTCATCAAGAAACAGAACGTTCTCGTATATTATCTAAAGAAGAAGCTAATTTGGAAGTTGTCAAAGGTAATATTTGGTTGTAAATGTAAGATTTTGTGACGCTGATTTTGACAAGACATACATTTTTATTCTGATATGCATAACAGGGCGAAAGAATAAAATATTTGAAGGTAATATGCATTAATCCTTATAGATTCAAAATTATAAATCAAACAAATACTTCGGACACTTATTATATAACGAAGCATATAATATATTTCATGTGAACAGTGTTAAATATTTTAAATTATACATGTTTCAAATCTCTCATTTTTGAAAGTCACGTTATATAGTTCTATTTGATTATTAATTTAACTGTATTTTAAATTCGTTTTATTACTAATTGTAATGTTTTAAATTTTCTGCTGCCTCTACCTAATGGTGTTTCTTTTTGTGTATGTATATTGCGATTAAAATTTATAATATTTATATAATTTTATAAACTAAAATTGTTTTCATAATTTAATATAATCCAACAGGATTACAAGCTAAACTAAATGAGGAAAAAAGTGGAAGACAACGTGCTGAATTACTTGCACAAGAGAAAGAACGACAAACTTCTATGCTTTCTGTGGATTATCGTCAGATACAACAACGATTACAAAAGCTGGAGGGTGAGCATAGGCAAGAAGTGGAAAAGGTAAAAGTATTACAGGGTCAGGTTGAACAAGAACAACAGAAAAGAAATGTTCTGCAAACTGATTTGGCGCAACAGTCATCTGAAGCAGGACGATTACGTGCTAGAGAACAACAATTAGTAGGCGAAGTTGCTCAATTAAGAGAAGCAAAGCGACAGATAGAAGAAGAATTACATCACTTAAAAGCTCAAAGAAATGTGGACCAGTTACAGACAAAGGAATTACAAGAACAATTAGAAGCGGAAGCTTATTTCTCGGTGAAGTTTTGTTTCATATTATTACTTTCAAAAAAGTTATTATTTTTCTTAGTCTTAATTGTAATGAATTTTATTTCCTCCTGATAGACTCTTTATAAAACTCAGACACAAGAACTTCGCGAAGAACTTGATGAAAAAATACGATTACAACAAGAATTAGAAGAAGAACGCAGTTCTTTAGTGCATCAGTTACAATTATCATTAGCTAGAGGAGATAGTGAGGCTTTGGCAAGATCAATAGCTGAGGAAACTGTGGCAGATCTTGAGAAGGAACGAACAATGAAAGAATTAGAATACAAAGATGGAGTAGCTAAGCATCATCAAGAATTGAATTCTAAAGAGCAGGTTATAAATCGTCTTAAAGATAGTGAAAGCGAACTTAAGAAGAGCGTTGATCAATACTTTAAAGAAAAGGATGATTTAAGTAAACAGCTTAAAGAATTACAACATCAACTTTCGAAAGCACAATTTAACGCTGAAGAAATAGAAAAACTAGGTAGTAAATTAAAAACTGAACAACTATTGAAGCAACAAGCTGTTAATAAATTAGCAGAGATCATGAATAGGAAGGACTTGTCTTCAAGTGGTAAAACAAAGAATAAAGCATCTGCAGCAGATTTAAGAAAGAAGGAGAAAGATTGTAGACGTTTGCAACAGGAGCTCACTCAAGAAAGGGAGAAGTATGGACAGTTGGCAGCTAAATGGCAAAAGGATTTACAAGACTTACAGGTCAGCAAAATCCAATATTAATTTTTATAAAAAAAACTCATATACCTATCTGACACGAATATATGTTTTCAGGCACAATTGGTAGAAGAAAATCAAGCGAAATTGAGATTACAAATGGAACTTGATTCGAAGGATTCAGAAATAGAAACTTTACAAATGAGGATCGCGTCACTGAATTCAGAAACTGCGAGTGTTTCATCTGTTGAAAATGACGGAGAAGATTCTGTTTTATCGGAACATGGTACCATGAGGTTGGAGGGCTGGTTAAATGTGCCAAATAAACAAAATATTAAAAGGCACGGGTGGAAGAAGCAATACGTTGTTGTCTCCTCGAAAAAAATAATATTTTATAACAGTGAAAATGATAAGCTAAACGCGGATCCAATTTTAATATTGGATCTAAATAAAGTCTTCCACGTTAGATCCGTTACTCAGGGTGATGTCATCCGAGCCGATGCCAAAGATATTCCGAGAATTTTTCAGGTGAACAAATCTCTCAGTAACAAAATTTTTATTTATTTATCATACAGTTTAACTTTATTCATATTCTATTTAATACAGTTGTTATACGCTGGTGAAGGCGAGGCAAGGCGTCCTGGTGACGAAGGAAACACATTGCCTGGAGTGGAATTGCCACAACTTACAGATAAACCAGGCACACAGTCGTTAAAAGGCCATGAATTCGTTTCTATATCGTATCATATGCCGACAACTTGTGAGGTATGCTCTAAGCAGTTGTGGCATATGTTCCGACCACCACCGGCTCTCGAGTGTCGAAGTACGTAGAAAAAGATAATATTCATTTACTATTTATTTGTAATTCGTGATTTGTTGATCCTTAAATACAGACAATATTTCAAGTTATATTGAAATTATATCGAATTGATATATTTTTTTCAGGGTGTCGTATAAAAGTGCATAAGGAGCATTTGGATAAGAAGGAAGATGCCATAGCGCCATGTAAATTGCACTATGACCCAAATAGCGCCCGCGAATTATTAATTCTAGCTGGTAGTCCAGATGAGCAGAAATACTGGGTCGCAAGATTGTCTAGACGTGTACAAAAATGTGGCTATAAAGCGAATTCTCACGTCGATGGCACTGGCCAACGTGTCTCGCCAAGGTAGCGTAGCTGTGCGACTCAGCGTAACCGGAGACTAAGTAGCTCTCTTGTATTGTGGCATCGCATGATTGGGTGTAGCGAGGTTAGAGTCGTTTGATTTTTCTTGCACTCCCATTTTCCAGCAGAGGTCCATACTTTTATTAAGACTTATACAACACAATAATGATGCTGATATTTGGTGTTCAGAATAGGTGTACACATATCGAATTCAGGTTGGAATTTTGAAAGATTTTTACTGTATATATAAGATTGCTTGAGTACCTGAAAGAGACACTAAACCGTGCGATGTTTCAAATTCTGTAAGAGCAGAGGTAGAGTATAAACAAACTACAGTGACTAAAGAAACGAAAAAGAATTAGTGAATGCATTTGCGAAGGAAAGATTCTACTTTAATGCAGTGTTTTCATTATAGTGAAATATTGAGTCTTGACTTAAAACTTGTGTCTCAGAAACAAAATTACAAATTATTGCATAACAGTACAATCAGTTGTATTATACATTTACATATTCTCAGAAATGATTAAAGTTAGAAACATTCCAGTAATTTTTTGTACATGGAAGTTTTCGAAACCTGAATCGATATAAATCGATTAAATCAATCCCAATCGAATTGAGTTACTATCCTTTTAACTTTCAAATCTAATTAGAACCGATTTTAAATAATCCTATTATTTTTCACATCTAACCGAATCGGATCAACTAAATTGATAAGTACTGAATCTGGTTCTTTTTTAAATAAAACAATTTGAATGAGCGTTTAAAGTTAATATATGCAACTGAAAGGGAATGTTAAAATAACAATTATAAAGCAATAGATTATGTTGTGTTTTACTTCTCTTCTTATGAACTGTGAATATTGTATATGATGAAATATTTTTAAGTAGTAAATATGTTTAATCTTAATTATATTCTGCTTACAAAAATGAAAGGTAGAACAACAAACCATTATTAATTGTGTTCAATTTTTTGTATTCGTATTTCTCCAAGCGGTAATATGTTATAATATTATTTTCGTTAAGCATGCATGAACGTATTGCACGATTAATTTAAGAAATTTAAAATTTAAATTTTATTTTTCAATTCAAATTACATACATGTATATTATCTGGTAGTTTCAATTATGATTTGTTTTTATACTATTTCTATATATTTTTTTCCATCAAAAGATTGTTACTAGAGCAGCCTAAAAAATGTTTTGGAACAATAAACAAATTGTTTTAACGCCAGGAACTAATTTCTCGTGGATAAATAATCTGTTCCTTCGGATTTATTTATTCTTAACATGATTTTCAAGTATGATATGTTGTGGTTTCAATAATATTATGGTTTTTTTAATTTCTTTATTTACTAAACCAATGAAATTGGTAATAAATTTCGAGTTGCAAGTAGTTATGAATGTTGCATTTTATAATGTATCACAGTAATTTAATGTGCATAGTTGTTCCTGATCCTCGTAGTTGTGCAGGAGTGTGAACGGATTCCCAAATGTTTGTTATATTCAACAAATGCTTTTTTTTCAAATTGGAACTCTCACATCTATTTCTACATTCTTCATAGATAAAAACTGCTTTTGAAGCTTCTCTTGTTGCATAAGCATATAAAGGGTATTTCTGAACTACAAATAAAAGCTGAAACCATGAAAATGGTTTGCTAAGGAAAGTTTTAGCAAACATGAGTCAGTAAACTAACAGTTTTTCAAATAATTTGTTTCTTTTGTATACGTTAACCAGTGTCTTATTATGATCTGTCTTCCGATTCATTTATCGATATTATTTATTATTTGTAGCAAGTTCTATCAAGTGGATAAGTTTTCATGCATTGTTCAGAAGTACCTTGTATTATGTTTTGATGTTGCTCTTGAATCAAATGAGCCTGCCCAATGACTCCACAGCCGCTCGATCCTTATCGATTTTGATTTCTATTTTTCAGAGAGTCCACCAGATCTACTTTGAAGCCATATTTATCGGTGCAACAACGATCCGCGACGCTGCCAGCAAATGCTAGTATGGGCAAGTGACCATAACTGGCATACATGATACTCGATTGAAATTCGTTGCTTCAACGTCCTTCCTATTCATCAGTCGAGCGAATGAACTCGATTAGTCGTTTGCGCGCATTATTGTTAACGGGATTCAAGTCCATTAACATTTTACCGGGCCTCGTGACGCTATCAGAACTCGATTTTCGTGTATCTAAAAAGCATCCAGTCGGATTTGTGAACCAAGCGAAATTGGTCGGTGATATTATCTCCCGCATGAATTATTATCTGCAGCTATCTCGTTAAACGAACAGGAAGAGCATCACCTAAATGTGCAAGGTATTCGCGTTAGTGATACAGTAAATTAGTCACAAACTACATAAGAGAAAGGGAGTAGAATAGGAAAACGATTAATCACAAAAAACTACTCTAATATACACCGGGAGAAAATGAAAGTATTTAAACACCGGTGTCCACTGTTTTCAGTTACCAGTACTGTTTTACAATGAAGTTAAATATTATTCGCATTGGATTATATTTCAATACGAAGCTACATTCTTATAGAATTATATAATTCGATGTAAATAAGGTTTAATTCAGTATCATATTGATAACAATATTACTTATTGAAAGCAAGATTCAGCGGTGCTTAGGTACTCTTTGTCACGCGTTGCAAATCAATTTTGGAAACTAACAGTATAATGTCCAGAGGATTGAACTGAATCACTTAATTTTTCATATAAAAGAAATGAAAAATATCAATCGATTCTTTTTTTTTTTATTTATTGCTTGCCATTTGCTTGATAGTACATGACCGCGTTTAATCTAATAAAGAGGGACTTAACGAAATGGAACTCGCATTTGGAAGGAAGTAAGAGCTATCTTAGCAAACGGAAGTTGTTACCGTGCGTCATTGATAATAACGTTTACAAGAGGACATACAGGTGGTCTCGGGTTCTGCGCGTAATTATACTCAATAATCAGTGCTGTAGTCTCAGGATCACCGAGTCGTTTTATAAAAGTTTTTCACAGACCGAGAGAGAACGGATCGAGTTTTTATAGTGATTCTTTTTTCTCGTAGACGCTTAAATATGATTTCCCCTTGTATATACATTCTGAGTAACTGTTATCGGTCGATAGCGGCTCGTTCGTTAGTTTCGGGACGAATGCGTTGAAAAGGCATCGAGATGTTCTTTAACCCTTTGGATGTTCGGGTGGTTACACCGCGTGCGGTGGACGCCGATCGGAAAATTCACGAACACGTCCGGGAGACATGTTCACGGGATTTCATCACACGGCATTTACCAGCATTCGAGTCTTCGGTGGTTAGCATCGAAAGGGTTACATGACATAAGACGTTCGTGCGACATAGCTTACTACATTCACGTTCGGAAAACACGTAATATTGTACATTCACCACGGCAGATTGGAAGTATTATTACTTTTATACGTCTCGAGATTAGAATATTTTAAGTACCGTTAGGTAAGATTGGAATTGTCTTGTGTGTAGACAGATGCTTGCTTGCCCAGTTAACTAGTGCGGCTGCCAAAGTTTCAGTTTTAGAATGAGAGACGTGGGTCGGACGTCGTTAGCGCCCCGATCGGCATCGATGTAGAAACAATTGAACACTGAAAGTATTTTTAATCGCAAATTTATCGATGTAAATTAGATCGGACGTATTCATCGAACTTCGAAATTTGTGGAAGCCTCGATCGTTTCATGGCTATTTTAGGAATAATTCGAATGAACTAGATTTTGTCCATACCACGGATCGCCAAACCGTTCCACGCAACTGTTAGAAATCGGCTCATTCGTCAGTGTAATTAGAATCTTAACAGTGTTTTCTAATTCTATTGAAAAAAGAGCTGCGACTCATTCCACTTGCGTGGGTAATTTTGTACATACATACCCTTTTCGATTTTTCTGTTTCCCTTTTTTCTTTTTCCACAAAACTTCAAGTTTAACGTCGTCCAATGATTTTCATAACGTTCGAACGTTCGATGGATATTTTGTACATTGTAAATTCTCGTCCCTATTGCCATCGCAGAACGTAGACGCGGTTAAATGAGAGAAGGACAAAATGTCGTGGAACCTATAAACGACAGTGAACGCTAAGGAACAGCGCCGCGAACGAGCTTGATTGTATAGTAGAGATAATATTTACAGTTGTAACTTAAGAATTTTTAATACGATGTACGATATTCGCTATTACCTTGGAACGAAGAGCATAATTGAGAAGCTTAGGAAGTTACGTTGAACGGTGCCGAGTGAGATTAGCGAGCGAGAGGCATCGAGTGAATAAAAAACAACAAAATGGAAACGAGTAAAAAAAAAGGAAGCGAAATTATAACGAACATAGAGAATGTATTATTAATCGTTATCGCCGCTTGTGTTCTTATTGTGGTACCTCAGCAACGTCTTGCTTCGGAACAAGCTGAAAATGAAAAACGGACTCTTCCTTCGTCGCTTGTTAACGTCTGCATCCTTCTCGTTAGTAGCTGCGTATTCACGCGTGAGACTCTTTTAAATGGTGCTCCCTCCCCTTGTCCTCAACCGATCCACACCTGTCCTTTCTCCTTTCTTTCTCCAGAAAACGAAGAAGCTTCCGGAACTTGGAAGGAAGCTCGGTACCCGTAACGTCATTCATTGGATTGAACAATAAGCGGCGAGAGCTAAAATCGATCGTAGTGAGAGAAAAAAAGAAGAAAAAAAGAAATAAGAACACCATTTTCCGACTACTGCCCCGTGCCTTCTTTCTCGTTTTAGCCATCCCCCGTTTGGATTTTTCCGGCGGCTGGGGGTGCTGGAAAGCAAATTTTTGCCAATTGCGAGATAATGAAAGAGATGGAAGCAAGAATAAGCGGAAGAACTTGTTAGAGCATATTTTATTATTGTTTAGTTATTTACAATCTGTATATTATTAATTAATATTACGATTAAAGTATTTTGTAGATAATTAACGCGAGTCTAGACGTTTCCACCATCGCCGAATATGAATTATCATTTCAATGATAGCCCGTCGGACATTATAGATTCATTGTGATCTCTTGTTATCCGGCGACCTCCCTCGCTCCCGAACGGGGCACGATCGAAATTTTATGATCTTTATATATTTATAGTATTAACGGTAAGACAATACACTCGACTGCCATTTCTCTCTTTCTTTTTCTTCTCTCTTTTCAGCGTGCTGCGTGTGGTGTGCGCGTGTGTGCGTGTGTGTATGTTCGTTCGTGCATGTGTGTTGTGTATCAATTTTGTAGTTTCTTTCCTCCTTCGTTCCGGGTTTTTTTTGTAATTGATTTATGTAGTACAAAATAATACTCCATATAATATACAGTTCTTTTTTTTTGTATTGTAATCTAACATTTTAGTTCGTCGTTGAAGTTCCGAGACAAAACAATTTGCAATCGAATTGTTTCAGTCTTTCATTTCGTCGAAGAGCAAACAATCTATCAATTGATTGATTCGTTTGCGGATTTATGAGCACGTCCTCATTGTAGACGTTCGAACGTATTTCGATAATCGATATTGTGACGAACTTATCTTAACATTTAGCGTTTTATGCAAAACATTTTTTTTTGTTCATTTTCGTGGAAAGCTTTTGTCATTTATTAAGAAGGCTCAAGAAGGCTTAGAATGTGCTTCTAGTTAATTAGCGGTGGCTGCTCATTTATAATGCATTGACGAGTCGAGGTGATGTTTGGAATTAATGAAAGGGCCCTCTTTGCATATCCGCTATGTGTCGACGACCTTTAAATTATTTCCTGAGATAGACGACTTAATCAGTTCTCTCTACTCCCTCAGAAATAATTCTGAGATAACCGAACAAAGTGTATTATAGTTTCGCTTCTGTTTTTTGTAAGTATACGAAAATATTTAACCGTTTGAGTCTTCTTAAGTGTTTAAAGATTGTGTTGCTCTTCATACAAATTCGGTTTTAAATTTCGATTCAAAATTTGGTTGTAAATTTTTGCTTGCATCTGGGTAACAAATAATAAATCTGTTTGGACTGCTTCCGTTTGTGACAAATTTACCTTTTGGTTTGAATTTTATCTACAATGAATAATCATTAATAGTTCAGCATTCGTACATGGTATTGTTACAGAAATCTCGGTAATTTACGAACGAGCATGAAAATTGATAATATAAAATTTGTCGATCGGTAATAGTATGTACTTTTTATTATGTTTTAGAAAAAAATAACTAATATATCTCACGTTTGGTGAGCATGGTAAATAGGTCTAAATAGAGTAAATGATTTTATGCGGGTGAGTAATCTTGGGTTCTTTTAGGAGATTGAACGTTCTGCCGTTTATTTGTCATTTTTCGCTTATAACTTTGTAACTATCTCAATGGAGAGATTCACGTAAAAGGTAGCACAAACATGAAATTCTGGGACTTCAAAATTCGTTACTCGTATATATGTTACTCGCAATATGTATGTATGTATATCCTGCAATCGTTTTTGTATCTGACAGGTCCTTAAGTATGATGAATACATGAAAATCAGTACGTGAATATTTTTATGCAAAACTCGAGCAATCCATTTCAAATACACGAATATATTTATATATAATATATACTTTTGATTACATTCGCTAAGTCTATATTGTTTTAACGGGCGGTCGATAAAGGAATTTTAATTCAAATCGTATAATATCAGTCGGTTTCTCCTATTCGATTACATTTTTTTAATGGCGAGTTTGTAGACTAATCGTCCTCTTTTCCTCACGTCTTCAATCGTTTCCGCGTTTGATATCTGGATATGTAATTTGTTCTTCGTTCTCTTCCGTCGTTACGATTCACATTGAATGGCTGAATAAAAATCGTTTTTTTGAAAGCGACCTCTTTCTCGTAAACGAGTAAATAGACGAAGAAAATGTAAATAACCTTACAAACTATAGCAACGAATTATTCTTTAAATAAGTACACGAACGAAGTTAAATAATTAATGCTAAAAGATATTAGTAGAGTATTTAAATAAGACGTTGATAATTCTCGTTAGTTTATGTTATATAAAAAGGAATGTAGTCGTTTCTTTGGTGATGCTATGTTAGCGGATATTATTACAAATTACAAACAAGCTTTATACTTATTAACGGTAATAAAAATATATATATATACACACGGAACGATGGAAACTTTACATCACACTATGCTGCTCAAAATATTCGATCTTACTTTTCCACATGCGTTATTTTATTTTACCTGTTGATTTTTCATTTCGAGTATGTTGTACAAAATAAAGTTGAATTCGAAATCGTGGCTCTCCGAGTTATCGGTTATGCACATATTCAAGGGATTTGCTAATCCCTGTTTAAACATATATTGAAATCTGTTAAGTGATAGAATAACATTATCCTGTTATAGTTTGTCGAGACTTTTACAGAAAATTACATGCAATTAATTTACGTGTATGTACAAACGATTAAACTCGCATTTCTTGTACAATAATCGGCGTAGTAGCGCATCTTATACTTTCTCTTAAGGTAATTAACTTCTAATTGTAAGTAATAAATGCGAATGTGAAATCTCTTTTAACGACGAATTGATCGAAAGAAATTGTACTATGAAACCAAACTTCTCAACGTCTCGTAAAGTTGTGTACGTAGTGCCATCGCTTTCTCGTTTTTTCATACACCGCATCGGTGACCTTAAATCCTTGAAGTTTGCGCCTGTGGCAATGAACAATTTTCGATTAGCATCACATGCATAGCTTTCGCTTATGAAATTATGCACGCGCTACTAACAATTCATTTAGCTGAACGTAACGAAATAAATAAATCGCGAGATGGTTAATAGCTATTTACGAATGTAACGCGATTTATTTCTCGTGACACAAAAGTCAGTTTTTTAACGCATGATATCGTTCGAGGAGCAACGATCCCGTCATCACGCACGATAATGTTATCAAAGATACAAAGTAAAAATATAAAGTTCCTACAAATCAAACCACTGTTTTCCGAATGTTATGATTTTGATCAAATATTATATACTATTGTCAATGCTATTAAAATTACGCGATCGTTATATAAAGTGTTCAATAATAAATGCAACAAAACTTGAAAGATGATTTTTCATGGGAACAGAAGTCACAAAATCAAGAGCAAAAAGTGTTTCGTTTTCGAAGTCTTTCTTTTATATTTATGTTTAGCTTCATGCGTGCGACTATCAGTAGGTCGTCATACTTCAGAGAAAGTAATCGTTGACAATTTGTAAACGAAATCCGAATAACAAACTTTTTACTCTTGTTTTTGGTCTTATATGTACATAGATAATCATTTTTTGAATTTTCTTTGAACTATTATCGAATACATTACACGAATCAAGTAAAAGTAATGAAATCATAAAAAGCACGTAAAGATTTGTCATGTTTAATCGTCATTATAGAACATCGGCATATAACCGTAGATCGTTTGGGTACCGGCATTGACGTTCTTCCATCACGATCCTCGTCTAATGAATTACAAGACGGGAATGGGTTGATCTGCCGGTGAATCAACTCGCCACCTGCTGTGTCAGTTGGTTTCGGATTGGAAGACGCCGAAAGAGAAACGTCTTCGACTAGGGAGAACAAAGAACCCGTTTTTCATTGGCGACGGAGAAAACCCGTGCATCAGACTCGCTGATGGAGCCACGGCGTCCGCTTATTTACAACATAGAGAAGAGATCTGCCTACCGTTTAACGCTATCATATAAAGGCGATACACTCGGGAAACACATGCATGCATGGCCGCAAGATATATGTGACCGGAGCGGAGGGAGATCGGACACATAGAATGCTCTTACAATGCTTGGACAGATACCGAATCTGGTTTATCGTATGTTATATAATCGTGCCAATGAAAAAAAGTCTCAGAATGTTGAATCGAGAAATATCTTCTGTTTCAAGCGATCAATTTTTAAGCACACTATGATGAATAAAAGTAGCAACACGAATTTCTTTGTAAAATGTTGTGTATGTTTATAAAACACGTAACTTTTTTATCTAGTTGTTGCGTAAACTAGGATTTTAGAGTCTGACATTGAAATAAATCATTGTTTATTATCGTTATGTAGCTGTACTTTTAACTTCTGAAACATGGTTGATTTAAAAAATGCAGTTGGAAGGAAAGGATTACAAATATTAAATGTTGAGGTCATTTAAATGAACTGACATAAAGTGGCAAGCATGTTAGTATTTATACATTACTGAGAACAGTACTTTGTACATTTCTTACTATTTATTTTTACTGCACAGCAGATTAACAATAGTAAACCATGATATATTTAAAGTTACAAATTTCAGACTCGGAAGTTGCACTTCTTGCTTAAGTTTTTAAGCTTATCTTGCTTAAATTTTCAGGTTCATCATTGCGCGTACGGAAGAAAGTAGATGCAAATCGTCTCTGCCAGCCTCAGCCTCTAATCAGGAAATAAAAAAAGGAGACTAGAATAATTATAGGTACTAAACTAACACCTTTCTCTCTATGATCCTTCGTTTTCCGAAGAAAATATCTCATTTAATGATTATTTTTCGTTAGCACGATTACCTAAGAGATTGTTGAAGATCGACCAAGTATTCTAGGATCATCCTTACGAACAATTCGGACGAACGGACTCGCCTTGATCGAGGATCTCTGGGGAAAGGGAACTTGCCTCGTTGCTACTTGTCCGGCTATGTATTATATGCACGTACGTATATTCTACTTTCAATTGATAACGACGAAGCTGTAAAAACTTTGGAAACTCTGGAAAATGCCTTATTTCCGCTCGGACCGGTGTCAGAGAAAGGAAATAGGGCTCTGCGACGATCGTGTCATCCGCGTTACGTATATCTCTTGCCAGACCACCGGCGAGGAGAACGGAAAAACGAGATTTGTGTTCCACTCCGCGCGAAAAGAAATTGCTACTTTTTTCTCTTTTGGAAAATTTGCGTTCTTTTATACTCGGAATTGAATTCATCAAATGCCGCTTTCTTTTTTTCTTTTTGCTTTCTGCCATCGCATTTCGGAGCGAGAGCCAGCGACATTGACACCGACGCGTCGTTCACGTCGAGAACCGGCTTCAGTTGCCTGAATCTGCGGTCCCCGAATTCTCGCGTCTTCAAAGAGATCTATATTCTACGCATCGCCTCTTCTTGGTGCTGTCCTTCGTTCTGCTCGCTTAGATTCCGACGAGACCACGCAGTCTCGTGGCCACGCATTATTTCCTGACCAGGGAGACTAGACTGCGGTGCGTCAGCTTCGGCTTCAACGACATCTTGGTCTGCGCGGTCGCGGTTTGCTGGTGACTTCTGTTCGCCATTTGCTGTTCCCTCGCATTCTGCTTCTTCTTCAAGGCCTCCTGCTTGGTGCCTCTGTGCATGCGAACGCAGCAGAAGCTGTTTATTAGCGCGGCCAGGCCAGAAAATACAACGTTCGTCATAATTTCCACGGAGGTTGTTAGTTTTTGTTAAGAGGAGACAGCTATGAGGCATCTGGCGGGTGCTATAGAGCGTTAGCGACTACCGTAAGATTCAATTTCCGTCGATCCCATAGACATAGAAATGTAGGAACGGAAGGTACGGTTTGCTGATGTGACCGCTGTTTGTTAATTATTTGTTACTCATTAGTTTGATTACTTTGATCATGTATTATGAATAGCGTGTCCTTGCGCAAAGTAAAGATTTTTCGAAGTAATTTAATGGTCAAGTAGAAACTGATTGCTTCGCTTAAGAATTTTAATAAATTGAAAATAAAGTAACAGCATTCTTAACTTCGTATGAACATTTATCTACTGTATATTATATGCACTTTGTTCATTAAGTGTAATTCAGTTCGAATGATTTTATTGAAAATTGATTGTTTTTTTACTGAAAAAAGTGAATACCCTTAACAACGAATTACATGAGTATTAATTTGTTCAGTTTTTTATAATTAAAGGTACAAAGTATGCGTCGTTAAGCAAACAATCAAATGTAGACGTCAATATTGCACGCTGTATCTTTAAACAACGGTCAGTTCTTCCATTCAAGGTAAGTTTATATTCATCTTTATATTCCTACTCCTATGTTCATGGGCAACTGTGAATATGATTGTCATGTCCTAACTTGAAGCGAAGTCTATATGAGTAAATAGCAATAAGCAAAAGTGCAAGAACATAGTTTGTATCGTTTAGATCTGAATTAACTGCAAAAATATGATTAGTAGAATAGAAGTTGATTTCTGAAATTCCACTTTTATTTAAAAATGATGTTTCTTTCAATTATTTTAGATAAAAGCCGAACCGTTTAAGTGTTCACAATTTTTTTCAATCAGAATTTTTTAACTTATTTTTTTTTAAATATATATTATAATCTTATATACATATATTTGTATATATATAAGATTTTCACGTGGCACATTTTATATTCTGTAATTACAAATTTCAATAAAATTTCCAGGTAAACTTTGTAATTTAAAATCAATATAATTTTAGTTACTCTCATTACTTTTAATTATTGACTCAACATATTTAATATGCGAATCGTTTCCCAGTTGAATTTACCAAACTGCGCAAGACATAGTCATAAACGTTAGTATTTTTGAGACAGCATTCGTGTGAAGTTGACATGTAAGGAACCAAGAGTTTCAAACAACAGAAAACAGTGTGATTGTGCAGGCTCGGAAAAACGTCGACTTTATCTTAAGAGTTCTCGTTCTACTTTGCATTCAGAAAAATGGGCCATGCGTCTTTTCACTAACATTCTCCTTCTTTTCTGTATCCTTAATTGCGTAGAAAGACCTACTTCGTTCTAACGTGGAGAAGAAGAGAAGGGAGTACGTCACGAATAGTTCAGTTTTAATGAAGTGAAACTTACAGGTATCGGGTGAGATCCTCTATATCAACGAGCATCGAATCTTGTTCCATGTGCAGATCGTCTCGTCTCAGCAATCCCTCGACTAGGGCCTCATTCAAAGCCGCAATTCTAGCGTGCAGGTCGTTTGCCACCACTTGCAGCTGCGCGACATTTAGTTCTGTCAGAAGTACCCGAGACAGCCTCCGTCTGTCCTCGCCCAATTGAACGCCGACCTGAGAGTGGTAATAGAAAATTCATTTACACCGAAAGAACGTGGTTGAAATATCAAATTTTTCAGCTTTCACTTTTCATTTCTTTACTATATCTTTAATTGTATCTTCTGTATAATAAAAAACAAAAAAGCACAAATTTTTAAAATATAGTATCATTCAAATGTAACAGTACTAAGTTCATTTTTGTTGCTGAATAGGGTAACACCATAAAGAAATGAAGTAATCAATTATTTAACTCAAGAGATTCTTGAGTCCCAATAACCATGAATTAATTAGTTATACTATCTCGATTATATCAATATACTACTACTATTCATCAAAATATTACAGATCGCTCTTTTGCGCTTTCTTTTATTAATTTTACCCTATGAAAAGAATACATTGTGACGAGTGAAAGCTTTGTTGAGTCCTGCGGGGTGCGACAAACATTACAAATAAGGTATGCGACCCGTAATTATAAACTCGCTTCCACGACGTAAAATAAAAGAGAGGCATTATTAAAAAGTATAATTATTTTACCCACTTTTTCAAGGCTGGATCGCACCATCTCCGTGATGGGACTTTGTTTCAGCCTTTGTCTCTCGACCTCCATCTGCATGTGCGCCATTTCCTTGGCCTGTGCTAGAGCCATTCTCGCCTCGGTCTGTAACCTTGCTTGCCTGGCGAAGAAATCAGCCTCATCAATGGGAGCTGAATTCGAACCCGTGTCGAGCCTCAATGGAGGAAGACTGAGTACTTGAGGTCTAACTGGCATTTGTTGTTTGTGTTGTTGTTGTTGTTTTGAGTTCAGGGAGGTCGGCGTGGTTCCAGGTGAGGAATCGTTCTCCGAGCATGGCGATTCCGTATCGGAAGCAGTGTCGTTCATGAAGCAGATCTGTAGGTTCATGCCTGTGGAAAGATGGAGCCTTTATCAAAATTTCTTCTCGCTGTATAAATTTGTTGGATGTCTTTGCTTCGTTCAATTTCAATAAACGAAAATTTGATTACACTAACGTTCGCTAGAGCTTTCTAATAAGCTGGAACTGAGGTACACTGATCACCTACAGTATTAAGAAATTGAGAACTTGCCTAGACTCTACGTTTTGAGAGGACAGTACGTTATACGTATTTACGGGTTATGCAAGCATGCAAAGAAGAATAAAATAAAGAATCTTTGATGAAGGTATATTCAATGTTTTACCTTCATCCTTTGAAAACCTTCAATGGAAGAAATAAATTTCTGTTCAATTCCAGTTATTATAAGATAGTTTGGAACTATCTAAATTTTTATCAACATTTGGATACTGATTATAACTTATTACAAGTGAATACCTCTTATTTTATTAATGTAATGATTTTTGATGTACCAGAATATTGAATGCGAAAGATATGGAATTTTATCATTCTGTTTTGTGAATTAATCTATACAAATCTGAATCTGCATAAATGTTTGATATTTAATAATATAATTTTGATAATGGACTACCTTTTTTGAAATTTTTCTTGGAAAACCCTATCGGCTATTAAAATTTGTAAGAGATTAAAAATAAAAGGGTAATTTTATTTTGAAAATAATGAAAATAATTATTGTAACTTAATGCACATTCGATTAACTGGATTAATTCAATTTAAATGTATAAGGATATTAAAATATACAAATATATAAACATATACAAAATTCATTCAGGAATGGTCAATCTACTAATTTGTAAAGTACAGAAATTCTACATTAAAAAAACCAAAGTAGTTACTAAAAAATATATTGCAACTTCGTTTTAATTTCACATACTCAAATATTATAAACAGACACCAAACAATTTAAAATACATACAACATTTGTAATATTTTTAAATTTATTTCACATTATCATTTTAATTAAGTAATGTATCTACATGAACTCTAATGTTTCCACTGCAAACACTTTAGCGTATTATAAAAATTCTATTTCACATTTCTTCACCAGTTTACACAAATTTTTCGTAATGTCTCTTTTTCCCAACATAAACCACTTTCTAAATTAAGAACAGCTTATTATATTAAAAGCACATATAATTTTGTCAGAAATATTTCTCGTTGGCATATCACTTTAAAAATTGATTTTTTAATTATTTCACAGTCAACATTATCACTTGTATTATGAATGTGTTAATTAGCAATTTTTTCGGTTCAATTCATGATGAAAAAACCTTAGAAAAAATGTGAAGAAACATTTTTAATCCATTTCACAGACAATATTATCACTTGTATTATCAATATATTAATTAGCTATTTTTGTACTAGCATTAATGGTAAGAAATTTCGGAAGTAGTGGAAAAAACATCTTCGAGAGAGCTCAGGTGTTAGGGGATGAAGTGATACCGACCGCTTTGAAGTCGCGACTGGAGGCTCGGCTTTCTTCCGCGTTCAGCGCGCAAGTCGTCAGCGTCTGGACCCATCGCCAACCTCCTTCGGATCTCTTCACGGTCGTTTCGTCGCTGTGAACAGACAGAGGAATCTGAAGTGTGATTACCCGTTACTCAGGGGGAGGAATCTCCCTGGTGTGCCTTTAATCCCCCGTGTTCCGTTGTCCGCCATTCATTGTATTAAAACCTATTCTCATGCTAGCGAAACCATTAATGAAATTCATAATGTTTCTTCGGTGTCCGGTTGGTAATGCGCTACCAATTATACCGGAAGTATGATTAATGGATCCTGTTTCAAGTTAACGAGACGAGAAATTTTCCCCTACACATCACTCTCTATGTCTTTTCTGTTGCAAGGCTGATGACAGTTGTATCAATAAGAGGTCCATTATTTTTAGTAACAATTTGTATTTAATATTATCCAAATTTATGTTAACATATCTAATTAAATCTGTTGTTTGTTTCATGAAATTTGAGGTAAAGAAAAAGTTCGTTTTGAATAAGAATGTTTTGTAATATTTAATGTTTTTTGTGTGTAAAAGAGATTCCATTTTTTAATCTTACATAAATAGTTACATTCGATTTGATTTGTTTCATTTAACTGTCGATACTCTTTTTCTAAACTTGGAAACAACAATAAAAACGAAGTCGAGGTTGTTATTGTTTTCTTCATTTTAATGAGGGGTAATAAAGCTTCTCTTAGAGTTAGAATTTTTATAATTATTATGAACGGTATATGTCTTTAGGATATGGTAATACATTTCTGTATGAGATTTAATATTAGTGAAACAGATTTCGTATTTTTAAAAATATGAAATTTATAATAGTCTTTTAATAAGAAGGAAATAGAATTTTATTTTGTTTTCAATTCTAAGAGAGTGATTACGATTGGCAGTCTGGGAAATTCTTAGGGGCGCTCTATGGCTGTCCGAAGTCACACCTGAGAAGCTTCATTTGGATCTCCCCGTACAACTCTATCGAATCGCATAACAAGATCTTCCCTTTCAGGTTCCTTCGTTTCGTCGGATTTCTGGAACGATTCGATCGTCATCTCTTCTGACTTTGGCTGTTCCTTGGCTGGCTCTTTATCATCATCCTGATACCCCAGAAATGAAAGCCAGCTTGGTAATCGATACAGCACATTACAAAGCATTGATAAAAAGGGACTGCCGACTGTACGTATGGCCATCAAGATATTTACTTCAAATCCAATTTTTATGTTATAAATATTTATAATTGGAAATATTTGTAGTCACTTATAATTTTTATTTCAAATTTTCTGCATCGTGTTCAATAAAATTGACTATATAATTTCTTGGTCTTTTAAGGGGTTGTTAAAACATGTTTTTTATAGTATGTGTAAAAATTAATATTTACAGATTGCGTGCAACTTTTCAATAAATATTTTTAAATTTCTTATATAATTTAGAAATAATTGGTTCACTAAAACAAATGAAATTTGTGCATTTTATAGAAATTAATATTTATTTATATTCTTATTGATTTTATTTGACGGTTCTTATTGTCAGTTATAATTTTCAAAGAATATTTTTCTTTTCGATTTATTTAAAAATGACTTCATTATAAATTGGTTTGAATCCATGCTCGTTAAAACTTTTATTCGGTGTAAACTGTAATGTAAGTTCTGATGGCCGACCTATTAAAATTTCAATATTCTGTGGAATAAATGTTAAGCATTTTCTACAATGAATTCAGAATGGTTCACTTTAGCAAGAGTGATTCATTGAACGGCGAAGGTTAAGTTCAGTATGATAGAAGCACTTGAAGTTTGGAGAGTCCGTCGAGAAATAGAATTCTATTTAAAAATCAATTTCAAACACATTGCGTTTTATTTTATGACCTTAACGGAAATAAGTGATTTCAGTTGTTAAAGTTGAAATAATGAAGGTAATCTTGGCATTTAAAACGAAAAAAGTATAAGTTCTATCATCTTCAGTTACTGGCTGGTAAAAATAAATTCAATTTGACTGCTACTTATGTATAATATAAAAATTGTAAACTATTATAAAATAAATGAGTAATATACATTTTTAAATTTTAAACATCAGAAATTAAGAAAAATTGTCTTTTCTTCATTAATACTCAAGCTAAATTAACAGTGAAATGTGTTTTTGAAATATTTATAGAGTAAAACTGCGTAGAATGCAATGGCTTTATAACAATTAAATTACAAGTAATTCGTAAGTAAATATGTAACATTTCTTCCACAAAACTTTTGTTTTTCTTCTTGTCTAGTTGCAACATAAATTTTCACGTTCCACCCGTGAAGGTTCCTATGTATTACAAAAAAGTTAATTAGTGTACCAAAGTGAGCGAAGAATGTTTCAACACTGTTAATCCGATCCTGCTTTGCATTGAGCCCTACCAATCTTTCGTAACTTTCCTTTCCGCACTGTTATTACCTCGCGCGTGAATGTCAAAATTAATTTTTTATCGGCTGAGCAGTCACGACCCACTTTCCCCTTTTTATGTATCGAATGGTTGGGTCGTTAACCTTCCGCGGAACAACAAGTGCAGGAAATAATTTGTCGGGCAGGGTCAGTGAGACAAAGCATTCATTGTCGACAACTTATCACCAGAACATGTTTTTTTGATCTTTTTTCGCAGTTGTTATGGCTGTTTACTTTTCTCTTGTGCGCGAACGTGTATCATATGGCTAAGTTAATTTTTATTTGAAATTTTGTTTTCTATATTCACATTACTATATTAATTAAAATAAATAGCTAATCATCTTATTTATATATGTAGAAATTCATAATTTTAAGGACTCTACGTAATACTTAAAATATTACCTATTAGAATTATTCATTGTATTATAATGATTTTACGTTATTTAGCTTTTTCTAACTTAATATTTAACACTAAAACTACCCAGCAGTTAAACTGACTTTTTGAAATTTTTTGATAGAAACTCCAAGAGTGCATCTATTGTGGCTCAAATTGATTTACGATTCAGTTTTCGTATTGCTAAATCACTTTCTTTAATCACTTTTCAGACAAACATCTATTATCTTTTTAATAATTACGAAAAGAAGACATCAGGAATGGGTCATTGTGACCCATCTAGTAGCTTTAGTGTGAAACCACTATTTACAAACCACCTTATCCAGCTAATTAATTGAAAATAAATATCTTATCGCCATTCGCCAGTTCGACATTAAAATATAAACCTTACAAGATCGAAGTCATCGTAAGTGAACGTGTACAGGTCCCTTACAAATCGGGAGTCCTTTTTATAATGCCTATTTGCTTTGCTGCTGCTTCCCATGTTTCCAAAATTAACAACTTCCCTTTCACTTTATAATCTCTCAAAACTTCATTAATATTCAATGTTCCTTGAATAATATACACTCCTTCAATTTATTCACAGATGATGAACGTTAAGCGTGACATATGAAACTGTTCGTAAGAATAACACGAAATCCACATTCCATCACCGAAAGAAAACTCGTGAAACATTGCTCGCCGCATCAGAGTATTCGGAGAATGAATTTCAAATCGCAACGTGCACGCACTGCATCTTCCTTTTCTTAAACAGCGCCAGAAAGAAAGTCGTTTCGACGATTCAACACGTTTATGGGGATGTTTTCAGTGATTTCTTCTTTACGGTAGAACGCTTGGTAATAAGTAGAACGGCGGTCTACTTTCCTTTTATTTGCCATATAACAGCACATGAAGTTTGAGTAGAAGTTATGAGTCACCTGTAATATGTGAAAACTCTATTTCATTTATTTTTTACTCTTGCTGGAGAAAAGAGGCTCAATAATGCGCGTCTTTAACGGCAATCGTCTTTATCATCTACCTTCGCTTTGCTTTCGCGTTACGATTCAATTTGTTCCTTCATCCTGTCACGATTCAGTTTCTTCGTTTATCTTGTCGCGATTATTCGTTGCAGTCAAGTGTATCTTACTCTCTACTTTTTTTTGGTTATAAATAAATTGTTGATTTCTCCGGAGTTACATCAATGCCAGAGTTCGATGTCAGCCTCGAGCACTTTATCAAAGTATATAATAACTATGGCTACCGATCAATTCTCTCTCAAATTAAAATTCATTTACTTTCTCGTTAATTTAAACAAGACACGCGGAAGATATTACGTCAATCATACAGATAAATTGAAAGCGCAATTTCATTCGAAGCGTTCCAATTGTTGCTCGTTTATCAATCCAGACATTTTACTAAACTCAATTACTTCATGAATCTCTCTCTGTTTCAAAGAAGTTCAAAACCATATTTGGAACGTCTCCAACGAAAACACAGAGTCGTCCATAACGAGCTTATCTCCTCCAATTTGAGCTGAACGTCATTATGTCATGAATGTTGATATATCTTATGACCCTGGAAAAATGAAACAGTGACGCGACGTCGTTTCTCGAACAGTTGGGCGTAATTTACGATCGAAATCCACTGGACAACGAATTTCTGGAAAGATTCAAATGAAATCTTCTGTCTGTCGATTATTATTATAGATATATCCTGATTTTGATTCTCTGTCGATCGACGAGATTAGCGTCTTGCGAGTAAGAATAGCGAGGTGTTCACTTTTTCCACGATTCACTATCAGCTAGTGGATTCTAACTTCCTGTTCACGGTACGGTACACCAAAGACGCGAGGTTACTTGCGTTTTTGCCATGGGACTCGCGTGAAACAAGACCGACACGAGACTGGCGTAAAGCGAGTCAAGTGAGCGGCGAACCGATCTTCCGGTAAGGTTCGCCAGCTCGAAGGAGGTGGTGGAGTCAGTGCTATTAACCGTCTACGGAGGCTGGACATACATTAACCCGACTTTTCACAGTTCTCGGTGAAAGTGGCTTTGGCTCGTTTTGATGCGAGCGTTGCGCGTGGAACCGGCCTCGGAAACGGGAATATTTTTCCTTTTCTGCGTTGAGCGATTAGGAAAGTGCCACTATTGTCCGACTCTGATTTCGAAATCAAACTTTCGCCGAGCAATATATAAATTAGTTAATGATATACGTAGAATGTTAGGTGATTTTTGATGATTTTAGTAATACAAATAGGCGAAGTTAGATAGCTTTGAAATGTTCCTATTTTGATCTTGAAATAAATTTCTTGAAAGGTAATATATAAGTTACCTAGTAATGTATGTAATGTATGTTTTATACACATAAGGAAAACGTTTAATTTAGAATTATTCACTAAAGAAAACGAACTTTCTTCTCAGAATTAAGCACTTTAAAATGATTCATTCGTATTTGGTGTTTCTAATTTTGATCTTCTATTAATTTAGATCTACAATGAATATGTAATATTTAATTTTAAATACTAATGCATCGTCGTAAATTTTACACGTATGATTTTATGAAATTTATAATTTCTGTTTCTGTTTCTTACGTCTATTTGATTCTCAAAGGATGTCCGAGTTTTTCTTTCTTCAATTTTGTGTGATCGGGATAAATTCCTTTCGTTCTGAAATCCTACGCAGAAACTGCTGCGTCTCCGAACTGGATATATCGTGAAGATGGTGTATCTTTTGTGAGTTGTACGCAACGTGTTCTACTTGGCTGCTCATGCAAATCGTTTGACCCATGGCTGTCTGGGCTTTTAAGGTGCTGTGATACGTTATCTCGAGATGTTACACTAACAGACATCTGAAGCATACACGAATACAATGTTTTCGTAAACTTATTTTGAAACATATACTTTAACATTATCATTTGTTTCGATATAGAAATTAGTATTTTTAAAATATAGTGAGATAATTTCTACGATTCTTACTATGCACAAATACTTTTATAAGATATTAATTTTTCAAGTTATACAGCTTTTTATTTTCTTTGTGAAATCACTTGTTAGCTATAAAATGAATGTTTAAAATAGATTTATATAGAAAAACATATTCTAAACAATGTATTTCTGTTTACCTATTATTAATAAATTAATTAAATAAACAATTTAATTTGAAATATTTAATCTTTGGTTTGTATAGTTGAAAGCAAATATCTTATGCATCCTTGAATAGAAGAAAGAAATTGCTGCAAATATTGCATCATAATTCGCATGGAACTAATGGAAATAAGGAAATTAAATTAAAAATACTCAAGATCAATAGAAAATAATTTTTTAACTAAAAACAATAGCTATCACAACAAAACAAAGTTCAATATTTTAATTTATCATCAATTACTCTTTACCAAGAAAAAACCGTATACAAGGAATACAAAGGAATCTAATTATTTCTGCCTCGCTATTTACACAAATTCTACAAACATTACTAACACTCATCAGCATACAAATTCTTATTAAGAAATTCATTATTCGCCGCGTATTTATTTTTCATTATTCCAAAAGCCAAACACAGCCTATTCTGATTTACCGAACGAGACCCTAATTAAATCTAAAAGCTCATTGTGCCGGCGCGAGTATTGAGCACACTCGTTACCGAGTCCGCTCCGTTATTGTTTGACGGCGAAGCCCCTTCGCTTTTTTTTTACGCAGTGAAATATGTCACACGGTATATTTGACGGTTGCATTGATCGTCTTCGCGGCGACATCCGTTTCCTGCTCCCCTATTTCCATACAATGGACACTGGCACCGGCGAATATAGATCGTCTGTGCATTTAATGAGACTCTCGCTATCGGAATCCCAAAACGGGGTCGTAAACCTCGTCGACCTTATTTTCCGCGTCAATAATCCAGAAAATACTCGCGTGAAACACGCCGGGGATTACGCGGAGTGCCGTTTCTTTTCCTCGGCCTGTGGCCTGACCGCCGCGGGATGCTGAATTTCCCTCTCGCGGCTCCAGAATTCATCCGCCCCCGTTTTGCTCCACTTTACCCTTGCAAAGTATATTAAAACGAACATTTCGCGGGGAGATTCGTTACCCGGAGCTCAGGTAACCGCAGTTAACTTGAAACTTCGAATTCAACTTCGTTGGAGTAATTGGAGTTGATTAAACGCTGAAGAAACATCTTCTTCGTCGTGTTAATGAAAATGTAATTGCTGTTTGGAAATTAATGATTACATAGTTCGAAACGTAATTGGCATGTGAACAATGAACAGACGATTCTTGTATAGTCTCGCGTGCTGAATATTAATTTAAGAATAGCGTCTTTCTTTTGCTTTCAACTTTTGGGAAATTCAGTTGTGAAAGGAAGATTAAACTTTCGAATTGAAAGATTTGTTTCAGAGTCGAGTGTAAAGAGCATGGAAATATTTCTTGTGGAAGGTGATTGTATTTTAAGTTCAGTTTATAAGTAAAGCTTTTGTGATAAGCGACTAGAGTTGATGTTTTAGTTAATATTTGAGGCGAGTTACATTGTTAAAGCATCACACTTTTTTTGATACTTTTCGTTTTCTTTAAAGACAGGAGATTTAAAATAAAGTTTAGTTGTATTATGCAATGAAACAGACTTCTTATTTTTGATTGAAATAATAAAATAATTTTACTTTTAAGAGTACTGCCAGTGATTCTCAACAATCATTTCACGTTCCTCAGAGCGGAACGCAGCTGTTTCATACAATGTAATTGCGTTATTTTGCTTCATTGTGATGATTATAAATCTCTCTCAATTATGACGATCCTCCAATAGTGGCGTGCGTGAGGCAGGTCAGTACAAGTGCGGTCATTGGCGTGATCTACGAGGGACAGAAGGGCCAAACTGTTGCTATCTTCTGACTTCAAAGTCAGAATTAAAATTCTCAATGAATTCTAAAAATGACTCAACTAGATTTACGATTCTGTATTTTTTATTTTATTATATTATATTATTATATTATCGTTGTGAATTACATTTTAAATTTTCTTCCATCCGTTGCCAAATATAAGATGCATGTATGCTTTCCAATGAATATCATTTTGAAAATTTGCTGCTTCAACCCTTTTTATCCTCAAGAAACAGAAAACATTAATTTTAACGTAACTACTACGTTATTAATCTTACATAACAAATTAAAACTTTTTATTAAACAAACATTACGAATTTGTTTTAACAAACATAACTCTCTATTAAAAAAACAATGTCATTATTTACTCATAGCGGAATTTTCTGAAGCATTAGTCTAGTAGCTCAACAACCAATCGACGTTATACACCTTTACTTCTTTTATAAATCAATTATTTATTTACAGCACTTGTTATTCAAAAGTAAATGCTCCACAGTGCTCAGTTTTATTTTCAGTTCTACCATGAAATCGCACTACCAAACTTCGTTTTCCATACATGAATCGATGCCGTTTCTACCTATCTTTGAGCACGCCCACTGCATCCTTTGCTGCTTTATTTAGACCGATCGAGTCAGAGTTTTATCAGGCATGCAGCATTTATGATTACGAGTCCGTGTATCTCGACCTTCAACGAAAGCGATTCAATCACGCCACGTGAGCGTTCATTGAACAGTATCGTAGTGTTTTATTCGTGAAAACGTTGGTCAGGTGAGCTGTGAAATTCTTGCCTCTGTTCCTTTCGCGAGGACTCTAATTGCGAATGCTTTTTCTCATCGAGCGTCCGCATTTCGCTCCTGCATATTTGTTTTCGAGAGATAGCCATTTGCGTAATGTTAAACGCTTGCCGCTCGCCGCAGAATTATTCCTCGCCGGTTATTCACGTATTTGCTCGCGTGAAAAGCTACTCGAACGAACAGTTTTACTTGGAAAACCTACGTTGCATGACGAAATAATTAATTGTTGGTTACGTTATGGAAAATTCTTCGTGATATTGTTTTAAACCGAACATTAGGAACATTAATTAAGAATTACGGTACTTGAAGTAAATTAATGGCAATTGTATAGATTAAGTCTGTGATTTATGTGTTCGCTAGTTATTTTTATACAATTATGTGGGGTACATGTAAGATGCGAGTATTTCATTACCTAACAGGTTTATGGGTCATTAATGGTCATTTATTTTAAGCTTCATTTATGTTTCATTAATTAGGACAATATCCTGTGCTTTATATTTGTTGTTATATGAATTGCGTATATTTTGATTTTCATAGAGACTTTGTAAATTTTTACTTCTATTCTGAAAAATTTTTTAGGTTACGAAAGTACAAGGATTTATAGTTTAATTATAGTTGATACGAATAAGGTCTACGTTTATATTTCTTGTCGTTTAATTTTATAGTAGAATAATAAAATTTTATAATACCAATTGCATGATATTTGTGAAAGACCTCTCACTATCATTCAATAATTACTAATTCTTCAGTTGTATCCGTACTAATTTTATCCACGACGAATATCATTTTCCTACTTGCATGCGCTGCACCCACAAAGTACGTCCTTAAATATCTGCATTATTATGCAAATATTGCACACATTCGCGCAAATAAAAAGACGCGATTAACATACATACGTATGTCAGAGTGAAAGGTCGACCGGCGTTCTCAGGAATCGAAGAAGCTAATTTCTACACAAAGCTATCGTTACGTTCAAGAATTATTGTACTTTCATTCTGTATCAAGAAGTGAAATACGAGATTCGTGAATTTATCCGATGAAAATTAGGAAAAAAGTGTTTTGCGGTACGGTGAAAAATTATTGCATATGTTTAATCTTCACTTACCCGTCGCTCCTCTTCGCGCGCGGCTCTCAGGTGAGACTCGATCGCGTCCAAGTCTATCTTTGGCATCGCTGTCTCGATATTGTAAACGTCGAAGCCACCTTTGACAAAAAAAGAAAATAGTACACTGAACATTGAATCCATGAATAGTAAACAAATTGCATTTAACCCACTTACGCGAACGCAAACAATAAAGTATATCTACACATTACTAGTAGTTATTATTTTTGTTTTATACAGAAATGAAATTTGTTTAAGATATATACAAGTAGTTTGTTCTTTAGATTCTTTTTAGTTGCTATAGTTGTGAGTTTTAATATGATATCATTAATATTTCATTATTTCTAAGATTAATTTCTAAGTAACTGCTCATGTTTGATTATTTTATATTTCTCTGAATAATTTTTGAAAGGTTCTCAATGTTTTTGAATTAATCATCGGGAAATTTGTAAGCAACTTGTGCAAGGGAAGTGTAATAAATTATAATGAAATAATATTTACTTCTATTAAACTATATCTTAATATAAAATTAAATGTTTCTTAAAAATTCTTCAAATAAATAATTTCAAATAATAGTAGCCAAACTTACCAGTGTGTATATATTTTTTTGCATCACAGTTTTATTGAATTAACATAAACGTTAAAACAATATTGAAATTAAATTTTATCGCAATAAAACAATAAGAATATTGTCAATTTGTGAAAGAAAATTGTCGAGATCGTTTTATATACGCACATACCGTAAGATCTGAAGAGCGACACTAACTTGTAAGCGCGAGGGAAGAGTCAAGAAGGAAATGCGTAAACGAGTAGCGACGGTGAAAGAAACGTGTCACGTATGAAAGATACGCCAAGGTACTTTTATTGTCCTAGAGATTACGTTAATCGTGTGGGCTTCCTGTGCGCGATAAATGTGGAAAATGGAGAGCAACTTCGGCCGAGATTACGCGTTTCTCAGTCGACATCGAAATCGAGGCGCACACGCATTCGCATGCGGTTTATTGTCTTGTATGTTCTTGCACCGTGAAATTTCACTTTTCTTAAGCAACCGCGAATTAGACGCAATCGCATTTCCGTAGTGCAAAGCGTACCAAGAGCAGAAACTTCCGTCTTCGACCGAGGAGGATTTTACGAGTGTGCTTAGGGAACTAATTGTGTAATTATTCTGCAGGAAGACTTCGCTAATAGTGAAACAGAAAATGCAGAAAAACTATACACGTTGCCTTCGATCGATCTTACAAAAAGGTTTGACGTTCACATAGTGTCCTCTAAAAGAAAAGTTTGTTCATCAGTTTGTTCGAACTTGCGTTTCTACGTAAAATGAACGACTTTAATATAAAGATGATAATTTTCTTCATTTAACACTAAAACTGCCAAGCAGTGAAATTGACTTTTTGAAATTCCTTTATAGAAACTTTAAGACAGCATCCATTGAGACTAATAAATTTATAATTCAGTTTACGTATTGCTAAATAATTTATTTCATAATTTCTCAAAGAAAAATGTGTTATCTTTTTAACAATTGCAAGAAGAAGAAATCTGGAATAGATCATTTTGACCTGTCTGGTAGTTTTAGTGTTAAAGTGTTTAATGAAATGAAAAATGAAAGGAAAAACGTATTTATATCATTGAAAAAGAAATACTTTTAATTTTATTATCTCCCGATGCTACTGTTTGAAGTTTTCACCTTATAGAATTAAAATTTTTCGTATTTAATTTCTCTTTTCGTAAATTATGTACCACTGAGCACATGTATGTTTCGTCTTTTAACCATTTTATTTCTGTACTAAAAACAAAATACGATTTGTAACTTCTGTTGACGTTATTTGTAGAAAAAAGTGTCCATTATCGGGTGGTGCGATTAGATTATCTCTTGCTTTGTTAGTTCTTAAAATAAATAGTTGAGTGTCTGCAAAAATTGGTGCATTATAGCTATATTTTCCTCACTAATCATCCTTTGTAGGTATTCCATATTTTTAGTGTAATAACAATTTATATTTTGTTTACTAT